ACCATCATCGACGTTTGTTTCCGGTTCAACAAAATCTTCGATGAACCAAGGTTTAGGTTGGTCGTCTTCACTTTCGCTGTCGCCGTAGTCCTCGCTATCTGAAGCAAACAGCTCGAGAGCGTTCAATCTCATGCGTAAACAAGAAATTGTATCGTGAGCTTGGTCCAACTTAGCACGGAGGTCCTCAATCTCTGGTAGAGCGTAAGTCTAAGTACTCGTTGTCAAGTCGCGGGTGCGGCGAAGCACTATGGGCCAAAAGAAGTAAAATGATTTGTGTGTGTGTGTGTGTGTGGGGGGGGGGGGGGTTAAAAGTGCTAAACTAAGGTCCGCCCCCAAGTTTTAATAGTACATGTATTCGATTGTCGGTAATGTATTTTAGTCCGTAAGTAATATCTAAATCATGTGGCCGTAAGGCCCTTGTTCAGGTGGAGAACGCGCTCCTGCGTGAAAGTAGATTAGGGTTAAAACAATCTTGACTGGACGAGAGCCAACGGCTAGGCACGGTGTGCCACGAGCTGTCCAAGTGCAAACTTCCGCTTACCTCGTCCGACTGGTCACAAGTAGTTTTCATCCGATGCCATCAGACTTGCCAGCCCGCGAATTGCACCCGAGTCTTTTTGCAAGTCTTGGCTTGTGGCCCAATGCTGCTAGTCTCGGCGCCGCACAGCACACTGGAGACCTGTCCCCGCCCCCCTCAAGCACTGAGCCAGCTGCGACAACAACGACGCCAACCATCTTGCTGTTGCCACAGCCAAGCCGCTTACCTTCACCTGCAGCTAGCAGCTCGCCCTCAACTGTCGTAGAGACTCCAGAATCAGCTGGGGCTGCAGCTCGTGCTGCGACAAAGCGTAAGACTAAGGCGAAATCAAAAGGCAAAGCTAAAAAAGAAGCCAAGTGCCAGGTCAAGCGTGTCAAGTGGACCAACAAGATGGTGGGAGAGCTGCTTCGACTGCGCTTCTCTGACGGACACGTCAAGCGCCGGCTTGTCGGCGCCGACACCAAAACCAAAAAGGGGCTAGCATGGCAGTACTTTGCCAGCGTACTCTCCCAAGAGCTTGGTATGGTACTCAACCACGACCAGGTGCGTTTATTGCTTTGTTTGCACTTGTGTTCGTTCACTAACGTTTAGCTACGGATATTATTTGCATGTAGGTATCGCTCAAGTACAGGAAACTAAAGTGCATCTATCGGAAGGAGAAGAGAGAGCAAAAGAAGACAGGAAATGCTGCTCGCATTAGCGAAATGGACGAAGGTCTTTGGGCCATTTTGAATGATGCTTTTGGAGGACGAGTAGGTATTAGCGGCGAAGTGTTGCTAGACTCTGCTATTGATGAGGATGACGGCGAGGACGTGGAGGGTGGCGGGGCGCAAGCAACGGAAGATGTTTTAAAGCAGAAGCCGGCTCCTGTTGCCCAGCTCGCCACAGCTTTGCAAGGTGGAATGGAGGCTATTGCCTCTTCTCTAGGAGCGCGCTCGGCTGCAGAGAACCAGCTTCGAGCTTTAACTTCGGCAATCCAGCAGCAACACGAAGACACACGCAGGTTCCAGGAGATGCAGTTTCAACTTCTTCGTGAGCTATTAGCGCAGCGCCAGTAAAAGATGGAGCTGTCCGTTGTATTTGTGATTAACTACTAACAAATATGTCTGCTATGTCATTGCGTTTTGCAATACCTTGTTGGTGACAAACCGCTTGCTCTCTCTCGACTGGATCCTCACTGACTTGAGCAGGCGCATCTTGTAG